CACAAGGAATTTGTCTTGGTGCAAATGCTCTCAGTGTACATAAAAGATACATTTGTCAAGAGTCAAGAATCATAAGGTACAACACTTAAAAATAGACAGCAAATATGTCCCTTAGAAGTTATATGGTCGTCATGATATTAAAAAAAAGATACTGAGACAGAGTGCAGAGAAGAGCAACAAAGATGGTTAGAGGACTGAAGGTTGAAATATATAAAGAACGCTTGCAGGAATCTGTCTAGTTTGATGAAAAGAAGGACCAGGGGAGACATGATAGCAGTCTTCCAATGTCTCAGGGGCTGTCACAAGAAAGAGGGAGTCAAGCTATTCTCCAAAGCACCTGAGGGCAGGACAAGAAGCAATAAGGATGGAAACTAATCAAGGAGAGAAGCAACCTAGAACTAAGGAGAGATTTCCTGACAGTGAGAACAATCAATCAGTGGAACGATTTGCCTTCAGAAGTTGTGAGTGCTCCATCACTTGGAAGTTTTTAAGAGGACTGAATTTTGTTTGAAATGCTATAAAGTCTTCTGCCATCCTTCCGAGGTGGGTAAAATGGGGATTGTGATTGTTGGGGGCAATAGGCCAACTCTGTAAACTGCTTAGAGAGGGCTGTAAAGCACTGTGAAGCGGCATATAAGTCTAAGTGCTATTGCTGTTGGTATTGCTATATACCGCTTCATAGTACTTTACAACCTTAAGTGGTTTAGAGCAGTGGCCCCCAACCTTTTTTGTGCCACGGCCCGGTACCGGCATCACAAAATGATCCGCGGCCTGGTACCGGCATCAGCACGCATGGCAAGGCGAGCCGAGCGACCGGCCAGCCAGCCGTCCCCCGCTTCTCCCCGCCACCTTCAACTCTTCCTTTGTACCTTTGTCGATGGGCTTCGCTTCGGGACGGTCGCTCGGCTTGCCTTGCCTTGGGTGCTGAAAGAATCCTCGCGCCTTAGTTTTGTTCGAAGCCGCCCCCCCCTTCGATGAAACTAAGGCGCGAGGATTCCTTCAGGACGCAAACGCCGCTTTCCAACCGGAAAAGCTCACCGGAAGCACTTTCTCATCAAAACAAGATGGCGGCGCCCAGCAAACCGGCGGCCCGGTAGAAAATGTTCCACGGACAGGTACTGGTCCGGGGCCCGGTGGTTGGGGACCCCTGGTTTAGAGTCAGCCTATTGCCCTCAACAATTCTGAGTCCTCATTTTACAAACCTTGGAAGGAGGGAAGGCAAAATCAACCTTGAGCCATTCAGGATCGAACTTCTGGTAATGGGCAGAGTTAGCCTGCAATACTGCATTCTAACCACTGTGCCACTATGGCTCATCTTGCTCCTGACATAAGGTGGGGATACGCTTTTGAGCAAAGAAAACATTACTTGGCCTGACTCCTTTCTTTATCTCTTCTAGATCAACGGTGTCATCAGCCAGAACATGTCTTTGGAAGAGACGCGACAGCTGATCGAACAGTCTGAGGGAAAACTTACCTTACTTGTTTTACGTGATAACAGCCAGTTCTTGGTCAACATCCCTCAAGTGAGAGACAGCGATACTGAAAGTTCCCACCTGGACGGTGAGGAGGGACTCGGAAGAAAAACTGGGGTGGGAAAGAGGATGTGGGGGGAAATGGAAGTGGATTCCTGAGGTTGCCGAGATAGAAATAGTAGTAGCGTTTAGACTTATATACCGCTCCATAGTGCTTTACAGCCCTCTCTAAGCGGTTTACAAAGTCAATATTAGCATTCCAAGTAACGCCTCTGCCAAAAGCAGAAGTCCGAGGCAAGTAGATTCCTCAAAGAATCTGTTTATTGGATACATCAGATTGGCACAGCTATTGAAAACCAACTCTAAAAGTTCCCCTGGTTTTCCGCCTAATTAAAAGAGCAAATATTTTCCTCTCCAGGAATGGCCATGCAAACCCCAAAAAACTTTAACCTTAGACTGTCTACTATTGACTTCACCCCTTTCCTAAGAGGTCTGTAGGGGGCGTGCATAAGCGCATCAACGTCCCTGTCCTATTGTTTCTTTTATTTTTCTTATATGTACCCATTTCATGTATTCATAACTATGTTTTTACTTATACCTATTATCTTGTAAGCAATTGACAAACCAAATAAATAAATAAAATAAATAACTAAATCGTGGTTTGTAAAAACAACCAGACAAATCACGCGATGACTTCCTACTTTGTCCAAATTTATCAGATTCATTTGCTTCTAAGTAGAGGAATATTAATCAGAACAAAGTATCTGTCTTGTATAATTCTAGTTTTCTGGTTTTTTTTTTAGATATATCTGATCTTGGTTCAGACATCTCGCCTCCCCCTCCTGTGGGAAGTACACCCCATTCTCCTCAATCTCCAACAAGGGATTCTCTCCGGTAAGAATCTCTCCCAAAGTTTTATAATTAACTTTTAAGACTTCTGGATGTCCAGAATTGCCCATCCAGCATGGTTGAAGCCCAGGAGTCTTAAAAGTTGCCAAGATTGGAGACCTCTGATTTAAATAATGATTGCAAAAGATACCCTGGAGAGCTTTAAGATATTATTCTTTCCCTCAAATTATCATTCTGGCTTTTGTCTTCTTTTCTCACCCCACCCACCTGGCCAGATCAAACAGGGACTACAGCAGACAAGAGACAGCAACGGAAGAGTTGACTTCACCACCCGTTCTTAGTAAGTGCCTTGAACTTAGCTTCTCTTGTAAGGTCGATGATAATGAGCGATGTCTCTTGAGGGGGAAAAATCTGGGATCACTTGCAAACACAGACGTCCTCGTCCTCATTATTATTATTACTATTATGGTTGATTGCACCGTCAGCCAGATGTTTAGATTAGACTTTGCATTTTTGTCCACCCATCGAGTCTTTCCCAAAGACCTGGGATAGGCAGATGTTGATGTTTGATGGTGTTGAAGGTATAGTTGCAGGATGTAAGCTTTTCCAAGTCAAGCTGCCTTTTGCAATTGACCAATGGGGATTTTGTCAATGTTGATGGTATTCAAGTGGTGCTCCAGACATTTTGGAATTACACTCAAGGCCCTTATTGCTATTCATACTATCTTTGCTTTCTTTTGCCACTGTTGTTCTACTTCTAATTGCAGGTCGTTGTATCTTGTGATTTTCTCCTGTTCTTCCTCTTCTACCCTGCTGTCTTATTCTGCTGTATTATACAGGCAGTCCTCAACTTACAACAGTTCCTTTAGTGACCATCCAGTGGCACTGAAAAAAAGTGAGCTTTGCCCCCATTTTACGACCTTTCTTGCCACAGTTATTAAGTGACTCACTTGCAGTCGTTAACTTAGTAACGTGGTCGTAAAATGAATCTGGCTTCCCCATTGACTCTGCTTGTCAGAAGGTCGCAAAAGGGGATCACATGACCCCAGGAAACTACAATGGTCATAAATATGAGTCAGTTGCAAACTGTCTGAATTTCATGAGACCATGGGGATGCTGCAATGGTCGTAAGTGTGAAAAATGGTCATATGTCACTTTTTTCAGTGCCGTGGTAACTTTGAAGGATTACTAAATAAACTGTTGTAAGTTGATGACTACATGTATTTTAGGTTTCATACTGCATATTTAAAAAGGACACAGTGGCTCAGTGGCTAAGATGCTGAACTTGTTGATCAGGAAGGTCAGCAGTTCGGCGGTTCGAATCCTTAGCACTGTATAATGGAGTGAGCTCCCATTACTTGTCCCAGCTTCTGCCAACCTAGCAGTTCGAAAGCATGTAAAAATGCAAGTAGAAAAATAGGGACCACTTTGGTGGGAAGGCAACAGCATTCCGTGCACCTTCGGCGTTTAGTCATGCCAGCCACATGACCACGGAGACGTCTTCGGACAGCGCTGGCTCTTTGGCTTAGAAATGGAGATGAGTACCATCCCCTAGAGCAGGGGTCCTCAACCACCGGGCCGCGGACCGGTCCCGGTCCGTGGAGCACTCTGTACCGGGCCGCAAAGAAAAATAAATAAAAAAAATGGCGGCTTTCTTCGCCTTCGGTGAATGCTGCTGGGATCGGGGATCAAGGACACAAATGAAAGAAGGGGAGGGAGGAAGCAACCGAAGCCTGTCCTGCTCTCTGGCTCAGCAGCTTCGGTTTCCTCCCGCCTCGTTCCTCTCTCAGTCG